TGCAAATGCATTGTATACAATGAGCGGGAGCAATAGTGACTGGAACAACAGTGATTGGTGGGTGTCTGTTTGGCCCATAAACATAAAATGTGAAAGTGATGAAGGTGTATAACCAACAAACTGCTCTGAATGTATAAATAAGTGATACTTATCACTATTGAATAACATCTGTGTATAACTACTACGCTGCCATTTTAAAAAATAAACGAAAAACAAGAAAAAAACACTTTAGGAAGTATTAAGGTGGCGCATACATTAATTTTCAGTGCAAAAACTCTGTAATAAAAATATATATTAAGTGAATAGAATTTTCCACACAAAAGAATAATTTAAAAAATTACAATAATTAATAATAATTATATTCCAAAAAGAAAAGTCCAAATGAATCAGTCCAGAAGATGATCACCCTGTGAGAAGAACGTGTGCAGAATGAATAAATACATAAATATATGTGCAGTACTCCCCTCTCAGGTGTGCACTCACCAAAGAGTGTTGCCTCCCACTCTCATGGTTGGCACACTAGACGATTTTCCAAGAAATGAATCAGACCACTATGATGTTTTATTCTTATATCTTGAAAAATGAGAATCCCAGGACAGGCGCTCCTGAACTCCAGTGTACAAATTCCTCCTCCTAATACTCCATACTCAAATAAACACGTAAGAGAAAAAAATGAGAAAGCCCCAAATGGTGCAGTACCAACTAGACGATTCTTTATTGCCACAATAGAGTGCCACATACAAGATGTAAATAAGAAAAAAGCCCAAAGATGTTAGCTTTAGTAAGTTCTTAGTGTAAAGAAAGCCGAATCAGTGATCTCACCACCACCGGCCCTCGATCTCTGACGCTCCCCACGTCACTTCCGGTTCCAGTCAGGATCCCCTATGATTAAGTTGGAAGTGACGAAACGCATCAGAGCATGGCTGTGCGGTGACTGGAAGTGGCACTGCCTGAAACCAGAAATGACGTGGAGAGTCAGAGATCAAGGGCCGGCGGTGGTGAGAGCACTGATTCGGCTTTCCTTACACTAAGAGCTTACTACAGCTAATATCTTTGGGCTTTTTACTTATTTACATCTTGTAATTGTCACTGTATTGTGGCAATAAAGAATCGTCTGGTTGGTAGTGCACCATGGGGTCTGTTAGGGTTTGTGCTTGACTGGCTTCAACCCTGCTCCCTGTTGGAACCAATGAAGCTTGACAGCTGTGAACCTGGAATTGCTCAGATTTGAGTGCTTACAAGGGTCACACTTCTCAAGGCAGATCAGTGAACAGATGTTCTCTGATCTCCCACCACTCTTATTACTGACACCCACCATGATGGCTCCAAGCATCCAGGAGCGACTGGTAAACATAGGGAGTTTGTTTACAATCTGGTGCTGCTATCATTGTAGTAGTTATGTTAGTAGCAGCAAAAGGGTTAAATGCGGCTTTGACAATAACATGGGAAAAACACTAATCCATTCTATTACATGCTTGGGAGATTCCTTTAAGCTGTATGTGGTGTTACAGAACAGTGTGATTCTCACAGTTGGCATCAGCCACACTATATTCTGGCATTGCATATTTTCCATGTATAATTGATTTGTTTACTTTTACATTTAGCTTGGCTTTAATATAGCAGAAGCACCCCAATCTGATTCATTGTATAAAAGAAAGGCTTTTTTTAAAGGTAGTTTTGGGTGCAATATCCCATTTTTTTTATCCAGCAATAATATGGTTGAATTGAATGGTGGAAGTATGGGCCACAGTAGATCTAAAAGGTGTAATTAAGTTTACTCATAAAAAATAGAGCTAAAGCATTCTGTACAAACTGGCCAGTAGTAAAACTTTTTCATAGCATATTTTGTGAGCTTCTTCTTTTGTCTTAAAAGCATAAAAAACAGTCAAAACAGAGTGCACAAAAACCTTTCAAAAGAGTAATATCACATTTCCTAAAACACCTTTCCATCTCTATATCCCCAGTTATTCCCAATTTGTTAAAAAATAGACTTCAGGTTATGGTATGTGTTTGGTAGAAATTGGCCAGTGTCAGGACAGTACACGAGCACTTGAATAGGTTGCAAATAGGAAGTGCTCTGGTACAATATTTTTTTGAAAATTTAAGGATAAAGTACATAAACAAGATTGTATACAAGCATAAAATAAATAGATCATAAATAAAACAAGACACAAGAATACAACAGAAAAAAAATATTAAATAAAAGGAAGGATAATAAAAGCAAAGGTCATATGGTAATCAAGGACAAAGAGATATGTAAAACAATGAAATACCATATATGTAGTGAAGATGGCATACAAACAATTTTGGATGTCAAAAAGATATTCAGTTAGTTAAAGGCATATATTAAAAAAGGTGTTTTGGGAAAAAGAGAAGGAAGAATAGAAGGAAGGGGGGGGGGGGGTGTAAGGTTTACTGGGCTGAGATTTTTCTTTCTTTGCAGTCTTTATTACTTGCTACTGACACTGTGGGTACTACATGCATGAGGAAACACATGGCTCTGCACCACAGAGATTGGTGGGAGCAGCAATGGGACAATCCAGCAGTAAAAAGCACATCTCCCCCTTTCTTCATAGCAGCCACTTTCTTTTGCAGTGATGCTAATGCACCATTTCTTCCTCCTCCAGAAGGATGGCAAGGAGCCATTTTCTGTTGGAATTATACAATGCAATGATTCATATTTTCACAGTGGAAAAAACGAAGATCATCTTACACCCTATATACATTGAAACATGCAAAATAAACAGAAATTAAAATAACACAAAATAATTAGAGTCCTGTGTTTCTTTCAATTCCAACAGTTCCAATTATGCTCTACAAATACCTTCTGTGATTACCCTATATGATGCCTGCACCATTACCACAATCTGCTCACCTTACAGTATATTCTGACCTAATATAATAAATCTAAATACGCCTGCCCCTTTAACTCTTTCGCTGCCAGATGAGTTTTTGCATTTTTTGCAAACATGTTTAAGAAATCATTTTAGGCCTGAAGATTGCATAAAACGCCCAAAACATTATATATTTTTTGGAAGTAGACAGCCTAGAGAATAAAATAGTGGTAGATTCAATTTGTTATGCTACGTGATATTACCAAAAAGGTCTGGGAAAAGCAAAATTTCAGTAAGAAATACACTAAAGTTAATTTTAGGCCACATGCATGCAATACATTATCCTTTATTTTGGTAAAATATAAAAGATGATGTTGCACCAAATAAATAGATACCCAACATGTCGAACCGTAAATTTGTGTGCATCCGCGAAATGGCAGCAAACTTCAGTACCTTTTATTTTCCATAGGCGATGCACTAAACGTCCCCTATAGGTCAACAATTTAACTTTAAGGAGGAGGTCTGCTGCTAGAATCATTGTTCTCACTTCAGCAAGTGCGGCTTTATTTAACAACATGTGTTGCAATTATTTTTTCATGTGGAGGCACACCCAACGCGTGCATTTACATTTGCATGTGGGGGTGGGCAGGCCTCAAATTGTTTTATGTGGTTGAGTGTAAGTTTGAAGTTTTTTTTTAACCACTTCATGTCCGGATACTTTCACCCCCTTCCTATCCAGGCCAATTTTCAGCTTTCAGCGCTATCACACTTTGAATTACAACTGCGCTGTCATGCAACACTGTACCCATATGAATTTTTTAGCATTTTTATGAGACAGATAAAACTTTATTTTGGTGGTATTTATTCACCACTGGGATTTTTATTTTTTTTGCTATATAAATGATAAAGTCCAAGCATTTTGAAAAAAAAAGTGTACTGATGAGTGTTCTCATAGATCTGTGAATGAATGAACTAAAAGTCTCGTCTGGCACCATGACAAACGGCTTGTAGTTCTCAATTAATTGCAAGGGCACTGTTACATACTTTGGTTGAAGGCCGAGTTGACGAGAGGGCTGCTCTTGTGGCTCTTGTCCCAGCACCCCTGAATGGGGTGACAGAGGTAAAAGTCTCAAAGAACCACAGGTGTCGATAGCTTGATAGCAGGTGATTGCCACAGGGATGTAGTCAAGGTGAGCCAGGGTCATACACAGTGAGACAGCAGCATGGTCAGGAGGAGGCAGGCCGGGGTCAGTACAAGGTTAGCAGGCAGAGCAAGGTCCAGTAGCAAGCCAAGGTCAGCACCAGGAGATCAGGCAGAGAATAGTCAGAGGTAAGCCGAGGTCAGCACCAGGAGATCAGGCAGAGAGTAGTCTAAGGCAAGCCGAAGTCAGAATCCGAAATCCACAGAGCAAGGTCAGGTGCAAACCGGGTCAGCAACAGAAGATCAGTCAGTACAAGCAGAAATATAGGAACACGAGTCACAGGAAGCTGAAGAACATCCAGCAATGAGTACACAGCAGAGTCTCTTTTAAATAGGCAGCTTGGCGCCAATGTGGGAAGACGTGAACGCTGTTGTGCGATGGCGCATAGAAATGTGCCTACATGTCAGTGCATGCTGGATATTAGCCTGGGCTTGTCTGTGTGCTAGTACACATGAACGAACTTTAGCTGCATGGGAATAAGCATCAGCTGAAGAAGAATTTGCATGTGCTGCAAAGAATTAGCATGCGCTGCAGTAGAATTAGCATTAGCTTCACTAGTTTCCTGACAGGTACTGATGAGTGTTCTCATATTTCAATGACACTTCCTGCAATAATAATAATAAAAATTCAAAAACAGAATCACTGAGGTCGAAAAAGGTTCACCCCCTTCAGGTGTAGCTAATTACTTTCTCAATGGCGCACAAAGCCATTTGACTTTCAACTGTGATTAGCTATGGTCATTTTGATTAGCTCAGCATGAAAAGAGCTTTCTTGGAGCATTTCAGTCCCTGGTAGTGTAGCTATAGCAAACAATCAACTATGGCTGGCAAGGCACTGTTAAAAAAGATCTCCAGAATAAAGTTGTGGACAGGCACAAGTCAGGAGATGGATATAAAAAAATTCAAAGGCTTTATCAATGCCTAGAAGCACAGTGAAATATATTTGTAAGGGACCGCCCGGTGACACCACTAGCACTCCACTAATCAGGCGTCCCCAGCGCACGGAGTCTAAGTCCCAGAGTACTTGTTCACCAGGGTCCCTGATGGTGGGGATGGACTTGGAGTACCCCGGGACCAGGTTGTGCCTACTGAGGATACCCGTCAGTGGTAGGGGTGTTCGCCAGAGAGCCTGATATGAGGAGGTCTGGAGACCCCGTTGAGAGGGATGGATGGATGGATGGATGGATGGCTGAGCAAGTGCAGAGTCAGGCAAGCCGGGTCGGTAACGGGGAGGACGGTACGGTACAAGGCAGCGGGCAGAGAATAGTCGGGTCACACGCCAGGTCAGCAACAGCAGGTCAGATCCAATAGGGGGCATTCAGGAGAGAGGTCAGGCAAAGCAAGGGTCTGGGCAGGAGAATACAGCAGTGGTCAGGTACAATCCGGGTCAGCAACTTACAGGTCCAGGATACAGGATGCAGGAAAAGGATAAGACCAGAAGGCACTGAATGACAGCTCAGGGCCGTTTAAATATCGCGCCCTGCGCTGCCATTGGTGCCCAGTGGGCGGCCGCGGCTTCTACTGCGCATGCGCGAACTCGCGCGCCGTGGCCGGCCCGGACCTAGAGCTCGCGTCCCTGCACAGGGCGGCATACTGCGCCTGCACCGGGACCATCGCGGCAGGGATCGAGGAGATCCCTGACATTGCCCCCCCCTACGGGCAACCTCCGGATGCCCACCCGATCTCTCCACCACGGGTGGTCACGAAGAAACCTCCGGACAAGTCTGGGTGCATGGACATTATGGGCTGGTTCCCAAGAATTGTCCTCGGGGCCATAGCCCTTCCATTTAATAAGAAATTGGGTCTGGCCCCCCCTTCTTCGGCACTTCAGGATTGTTTCCACCTCAAATTCTTCTTGTCCCTCCACCGTTATGGCCTCCGGAGGTCTGGATTCTCGTTCTGGGAAGGCATCCGGGATCACAGGTTTAAGTAAGGACACATGGAAAACAGGATGAATTTTGAATGTTTCAGGAAGGATAAGTTCATATGTTACCTCGTTGATCATTCGCTTCACACAAAAAGGCTCCACGAATTTAGGTCTCAATTTCTTCAAGGGACAAAGCATTCTTAAGTTGGTTGTTGCCAACCATACCTTATCCCTAGGCTTCAGCACCAGATTCCCCCCCTTCGTTTCTTGTTAAACGCATTCTTGTTGTCCTCCTGGGTCCGAGCGATGGCTTCCTGTAGTACTTTGTTGTTCGAGGAGAAGAAGTTTAATGCGTCTTGTGTTGCCGGAACTGGGCATTCAGAGACCAAATCAGGGAGAAAGACAGGGTGAAATCCGTAGTTAGAGAAGAACGGAGATTGCCCTGTTGCTGAATGGCTTGCGTTGTTATATGCAAATTCCGCTAAAGGTAAAAGTAGTAACCAATTATCCTGAAGGAAGGACGTGTAGCAACGCAAATATTGTTCTAGGGTCTGGTTGGTCCTCTCGGTCTGTCCGTTGGTCTGAGGGTGGAAAGCAGGGGAGAGGGATAACTTGATATCCAGGGCCTTGCACAGGGCCCACCAAAATCTAGATGTGAATTGGACCCCACGATCAGAGACAATGTCCTCCGGGACTCCATGTAGTCTTACGATTTCCTGGATGAATATTCGCGCAGTCTCGGACGCAGACGGAGTCTTCCTTAATGGTACGAAGTGAGCCATCTTCGATAATCGATCGATGACCACAAAGATAGCGGTGTGTTCTTGGGACGGTGGGAGCTCGACTATAAAGTCCATCGCGATCCTTTGCCAAGGTCGTTCAGGAATCGGCAAAGGCCGCAGCAGTCCCCAAGCCTTGTTCCTCGATGGCTTGTTTTTCTGGCAGATGGTACAGGATCTTACATAGAGTTTACAATCCTTGGCCATACTCGGCCACCAAAAAGAGCGTTGGAGAAGCTCCAGGGTCTTGGCTGGGCCAAAGTGTCCCGCCATCGGGTGGTCATGGCAATGTCCCAGGACAAGGGTTCGGACCTCTTCAGGGACCATGACCAACCCATCCTTCCATAGGAGTCCCCCCTTGTTCTGGAGGGACACACCAACTGGGATTGACGCGGCCGTGGATGCCTCCAATAGCTTGGACCGAAGGTCCGTCTGGAGCGCCAAGAAATTTCCTGAAGACAGAATAGTATCAGGTACCGGTTCTTCTTTGGAGTCTTCAAACATGCGAGATAGTGCATCGGGTTTCGTATTTTTAGATCCGGGCCTATACGTCATGTGAAAAATGAACCTGGAGAAGAACAATGCCCATCTCGCCTGCCGTGGGCGTAAACGTTTGGCGGTCCTCAGGTACTCGAGATTTTTGTGATCTGTGAAGATCAAGATGGGGTGCGAGGCACCCTTCTAGCAGGTACCTCCATTCTTCGAGTGCTGTTTTGATGGCCAACAACTCCCGATCGCCGATATCGTAATTCTTCTCGGCTGGGGTAAGTTTCCGCGAGAAGAACGCTACGGGATGGAGTAATTCTTTGGTGCCCTTTTGCTGGGACAGGATGGACCCCACCGCATTCTCTGATGCGTCTACTTCCAAGATGTATGGCAGGGCAGCGTCCGGGTGGCCCAGAATGGGTGCCGAGGTAAAGAGCTTCTTCAAGGCCTCAAAGGCTTCCTGAGCCCCCGGTGTCCATCTGAACCGGGTTCCAAGCTTGGTTAACTGAGTTATGGGGGAGACCAGACCCGAGAAGTTCTTAACGAACTTCCGGTAAAAATTTGCAAAACCGATAAACCGCTGGACGCCTTTTTTGTCCGTGGGTACCGGCCACTCCAAAATCACAGAGACTTTCTGAGGGTCCATTGCGACCCCCCGTGGTGGAGATAACCCCAGGAACGTAATGCTAGGTTGCTCAAAGCAACACTTATCTGCCTTGGCGTATAACCCATGCTGACGCAAACCGCCCCAACACCCTTGCCACATGTATCCTGTGATCCTTCAGGGAGGATGAGAAAATCAGTATATCGTCTAGGTCAGTGGTCGGCAAGCCGCGGCTCGCGAGCCACATGCGGCTCTTTACACGCTTTAATGCGGCTCTTGTGTGCCAGGCGCCCGCTCCCCTCCCTCCTCTCGGGCGGCAGGGACTCTGCAGCGTGATCCAAAAAAAAAACAGCCAGGGCAGCGCGCTCAAATGCAATGATTGGCCAGTCTCGCTGCCACTCACATCCTGATAGCCAGTGATTGGCTGTCAGGATGTGTGTAGGCGGGGCAGCGTGACGAACGTGAGAGGAGCTAGGCTCCTCTCACAGTCCGCCCTGAAGACCGGAACAGCACGGGAACACAGCGAGAGGAACACGCGGAGCAAAGGTAAGTGAATTGACACAGGGGAGACTTGGCTTACTACTTGCTACTTACTTACTACTACTATATGAGGGATGAATTACTATGGGGGATGAATTATTATAGGGGGGATGAATTACTATAGGGGAGATGAATTACTATATGGGGGATGAATTACTATATGGGGGATGAATTACTATATGGGGGATGAATTACTATGGGGGATTAATTACTATATGGGGGATTAATTACTATGGGGGATGAATTACTACTATGGGGGATGAATTACTATATGGGGGATGAATTACTATATGGGGGATGAATTACTATGGGGGATGAATTACTATATGGGGGATGAATTACTATGGGGGATGAATTACTATAAAAACTTATTGAAACTAAAAACAGTGTACCATCCTATGTATTTTCAGTTTTAAAAATGTGGCTCTCAAAATAAATTTCAATCGTGGTTTTGGCGAGATTTGGCTCAGTTGAAAAAAAAGGTTGCCCACCACTGGTCTAGGTAAACGATAACAAAAATGTCCAGGTAATCCCTGAAAATATCATTTACAAAATGTTGAAATGTGGCTGGTGCATTGCACAGCCCAAATGGCATGACCAGGTATTCAAAGTGCCCAAACCGGGTACGGAACGCCGTTTTCCACTCGTCCCCCTCCCTTATGCGAACTAGGTTGTACGCCCCCCTTAGATCAAGTTTAGTAAAAATGACCGCAGCCTTCAGGCTCTGAAATAACTCTGGCACCAACGGTAATGGGTAACGATTTTTAATCATGACCCTGTTCAGCTCCCGGTAGTCAATACATGGTCTCAGAGACTTGTCTTTTTTTCCACTAAGAAGATCCCCGCCCCTGCTGGTGAAGTGGAGGGACGGATGAACCCCTTCTGGAGACTGTCCTCTATATATTCCTTCAGGGCCCCCAATTCAAGTTCAGATAGGGGAAAAATTCACCCAAAAGGGATCTCAGAGCCAGGTAACAGGTCGATGGGACAGTCATACGGGTGGTGGGGGGGCAGGGTATCTGCTCCCCGTTTACTGAACACGTCCAGGAATTCATGATATGCTGTAGGAATAACCTGTTTCAGATCAGAGTCCCCTTCGGAGCATAGGAGGACCTGGGGGCCTGCCGGGCCTGAAGTGCGACAGTGTTCCTGACAGTATGGGGAAGGGAAAAAGATTGACCCGGTTTCCCAGTCAATTTGGGGGTTATGGGCCCGTAACCAAGGGAGCCCCAAAATGACTGGGAAAAGAGGTGACGCAATGGCATCCTGGCGGAGGAATTCCCGGTGTTGGTTGGCAATGGTAGTGGCAATGGGGGGAGTTTCCTGATTAACTACTCCTGATTTTATCTGGGAACCATCGGCCAAAAATATGTTAAAACCCCTCTTTCTGGGTTGGAGGGGAATTTTCTGCTGGCGAGCAAAGTCTAAATCCAGAAAACAACTGCATGCCCCCGAATCAATTATGGCTGTCACTTCCACGGTCCTTTCTGGAAGCTGAAAGGAGAGGGGCACAACTAAGTATTGGGAAGGACTGACATTGCCAATAGACAAAGAAGAAAAAGAGGTACACTTACTCATTTTCTGAGGGCAGGATCGTACCATATGACCGGCTTCCCCACAGTAGAGGCAGAGGTTCTGAGAGCGTCTCCGCTGGTGTTCTTCTGGCGATAATTTGGGCCGAGCCAGGCCTAGTTGCATGGGTTCTGGAACATCTGGAAGTGGATTCTGGATACTTGGTCTGGGTGGTTGGCTGGGGCCTAGGAATGGACCCCAGTTGTTTCCACGACCCTGGCCGGACCTCTCAAACCTGCGTTCCCGCAGTCGTCGGTCAATTTTTATCGTCAGGGCAATTAGATCCTCTAATGACTCGGGAACCTCTACCCGGGCCAGCTCATCCTTTAGGGGTTCTGATAGCCCCATGCGGAACTGGTGCAGCAAGGCAAACTCGTTCCAGCGAGTGTCCCCCATCCAGCGCCTAAATTCTGAGGCGTATTCCTCTGCCGCCCGACGGCCCTGTCGGAGTGTGTATAAGATTGCTTCGGCAGAGGCTGCCCGCTGCGGGTCATCATATAGGATGGCCATCGCTTCAAAGAAATCCTTGACTGTTCCTAGGTGTGGGTCATTGTTTCCCCTTAGCCGATGGGCCCAATCTTGGGGTTCGCCCTGCAACAGTGAGATTATAAATCCCACCTTCACTGATTCAGTCAAAAAGGTACGGGGTTGAAGTTCAAAAAATAGGAGGCAGGATTCACGGAATGACCTGAAGCGTGTGCGGTCCCCGTGGAAACACTCCGGTAAGGGTACTCGGGGTTCCGCCATAGGTAGCGGGGCGGAGGCCCCTGATGCTGGCTCAAGAGCAGCCGGGGGTGCAGAAACCGGGGCCTGTGGGGCTGGGTCAGATATGGAGCAGGTCTGGAAGCGGTTCTCCAGCTGCATACATTTATCCTGCAAGGCTGCTACGGCCTGCGTCAGGTTAGATAAATGCCTGCAAATTTCTTCCAGCGGGGAGGGCCCTCCTCTAAGCTCAGTCATGGCCTCCTGGTACTGTAAGGGACCCGCCCGGCGACACCAGTAGCACTCCACTAATCAAGCATCCCCAGCGCACGGAGTCTAAGTCCCACAGTACTTGTTCACCAGGGTCCCTGATGGTGGGGATGGACTTGGAGTACCCCGGGACCAGGTCGTGCCTACTGAGGATACCCGTCAGTGGTAGGGGTGTTCGCCAGGGGCTCCCACGGGAGAGAGCCTGATATGAGGAGGTCTGGAGACCCCGTTGAGAGGGATGGATGGATGGCTAAGCAAGTGCAGAGTCAGGCAAGCCGGGTCGATAACGGGGGGAGGACGGTACGTTACAAGGCAGCGGGCAGAGAATAGTCGGGTCACACGCCAGATCAGCAACAGCAGGTCAGATCCCATAGGGGGCATTCAGGAGAGAGGTCAGGCAAAGCAAGGGTCTGGGCAGGAGAATACAGCAGTGGTCAGGTACAATCCGGGTCAGCAACTTACAGGTTTCAGGATGCAGGACAAGGATAAGACCAGAAGGCACCGAATGACAGCTCAGGGCCGTTTAAATATCGCGCCCTGCGCTGCCATTGGTGCCCAGTGGGCGGCCGCGGCTTCTACTGCGCATGCGCAAACTCACGCGCCGCGGCCGGCCCGGACCTAGAGCTCGCGTCCCTGCACAGGGCGGCATACTGCGCCTGCGCCGGGACCATCGCGGCGGGGATCGAGGAGATCCCTGACAATATTATTAGGAAGTGGAAGGTATTTGGTACAACACAGACCCTCCCTGGATCAGGACCTCACTCCGAAGTGGATGAAAGAGCCAAGAGGTAACTGGTCAGAGGCTACCAAGTGGCCTACGGCAACTCTGAAGCGGTTGCAGGAATTGTGTGCATGTGACAACAATATCACAAATTCTACACAAATGTGGCTTGTATGGGAATTTTGCAAGAAAAAGCCACTCCTCAAGAAAGGCCATATGCAGTCATGACTGAGCTTTGCCAAAATGCACCTTGATGATTCTGAGGCCACATGGAGAAAGTTGTTATGGTTAGATGAATTATTTGGCATCAACACTAAACGATATGTCTGACGGATATCCAATACAGCTCACCATCCAAATAACACCTTTCCTACAGTAAAGCATGGAAGTGGCAATATCCTGTTATGGGGGTGTTTCTCTGCAGCAGGAACTGGAGTACTTAAGGATAGAAGGAAAATGGATGGGGCAAAATACCTTCAAATTCTTGAGGAAAATCTGCTGCCCTCTGCCAGAAAGTTGTCAATGGAAAGAAGGTTTACCTTCCAACATGACAATGACCCAAAGCAGACAGCAAAAATGATGACACAGAGGATGAAGGAGAAAAGGGGAATGTCCTAGTCAGAGCCCAGACTTAAACCCCATTGAAAATCTGTGGAATTACTTGAAGACTTCAACCCACAAATAGTCACCATCAAATTTAACAGAACTTGAGCTGTTCTGCAAAGAAGAGTGGGCAAATAGTGCAAAGTCTACATGTGCAAAGTTAGTAGAGACATATCCCAAAAGAATAAAGTCTACAATTTAAAGCAAAAGGTGGTTCAACAAAATACTGATATAAGGGGGTGATCCTTTTTCCAACTCTTAATTCTGTTTTTTTTTTTTTTTTTTTCTGACATGTTGGTGTTATATATTTCACTTGTATGTTATAAGTTGCACCAAGTAAAGCTGGATAAAACTAAAACTGTGTCAGTCTTTATTTCAGGCTGCAAAGCAACAAAATGTGATTATTTTAAACTATGGTGATTCTTTTCCATACCCACTGTATTGTACAGACTTGATGCACACTATGTAAGCTGCTTTAGTTGGTGGCAGTTCAAGAGGGAGACACCAGGCAGGTTTTATATTAAAAAATCAAGACTGGCGTATATTATTTAACAGAAAAAAGACAGAAATATGGTACAGACTCAAAGTACACTATGTAAGCTGCTTTAGTAGGTTGCAATTAAAGAACAAGAGACCTGGCAGGTTTTGATCTACAAACCAAAATTAGAGTGTATACATCTCAGAAAAAAGGCAGAGGATGACATTCAATGCACACTATGTAAACATCTTTATTAGGGCTCAGTTTAAGAGGAACAGACAGCTAAGTTTTGTTGGGAAGTAAGAATTAGAGTGTTTTTTCCAGAGACAGAAATATTGTACAGACTTGCTCCACAGTGTCTAAGCAGTTTTACAGTATTAGGCCACAGTTTAAGAATGAAGCAAGTTTTGAGCTAGAAAGCAAATATTTGAGTGAATTATTTCACAGAACAAAGCCAAAAAATATTACCTATGTAAGACTATGTAATCTTCTTTAGTAGGCTTCAGTTTAGGAGGGAGTGACTAGGTAGGTTTTATCGTAAAACAAAAAATAGAGTGTATTCATTCCTAAACAATAGTCAGAAATATTGTCCAGACTCACTGCATAGTTTGTAAGCAGTTTTACTAGGCTGGAATTTCAAAGTGAGAAACCAGGCAGGTTTATAATCAATAAATTAAAAATACAGCGTATTATTTTACAGATAAGCCAAAGCCAAAAACATTGTACAGACTTCATGCATACTATAAGCAGCTTTAGTAGACCCCAGTTTTTGAGGGAAAGAGTAGGCAGTTTTTCTCAATATATCAAAATTAAAGTGGGTTATTTCACAGAAAAAAGCCTGAAATATTGTACAAACATGAAAAGAACTGTGTAAGCCTATTTAGTAATCTTCAGTTTCAAAGGAAGATACCAGGCAGATTTTAATCTAGAGAAATTATTTCACAGAAAAAGTCAGAAATATTGTACTGTCTTGATTCCCACTATGTAAGCAGCTTTAGTAGACCACAGTTTCAGAGGAAGAGATCAGACAGGTTTTATGGTGAAATACTATATGTACTGTGCAGGTCCTTGCCAGTGGTCCAGTCTGGACACCCAATAGTCTATGGTGTCCCCACTTCAGAGAGTGAGTCTTTTTTTGGTAAATGTTTTTAGTTGCAGATGCAGATTCTGTTGTCCCCCAATTAGTTACACACGCAGAACACCTCTTCCTCTCACTTTAGGGCTACATAACATCATAAATTCAGGGGATTGCCAAATGTTATTAGCAGCTATAGCAATAGTGGGATTGGGAATGTGCTGGTTTGGTAGGTACACTTAACAATGTAGTAATTGTCCCACTTCTTGGAGCTACCAGACTCAGCCATTTGGGCCAACAAGGCGATGAAAACTATTGGAGATATAGTTTTGGTAGGCAAATGAATGACCAACGATGAGTTTAGAAGTGAATATGTCCTTCCTAACTGGTATCTGCAATTGTGACATGTCTTTATGCCACAGTTTGAATCACTGACCTTAGTGACTCAGCCCTCTTGCCTGGAACTGCTACGCTCTGACACTCTGCTTAAACAATTATTTGTGATCTACAAACAGTTCCTAGTCAGACCTATCTCGATTGAATGCTGTAGATCGAAGTGGATTGCTGATGTTCCAGACCTACAGGGGGATGACATGTGGGACTACCCATTTCAGCACCTGGTGTCAGCAAAGGATAGATTGATACAATATAAGTTCATCCACCATACATTTTTTACACTCGCCAAGCTGGCTGGTGTTTACCAGTTCCTATCTGCTGAGTGCTGGTTATGTACCTTTGCCACAGCAGATTTTACTCATGTTTTCTGGCATTGTCCTTTAATTCGACATTTTTGCACAGGGGTCACTAAATGTATTATGAACATTACCACTGTCCTAGTTTCCCTTTCCATCCCAGTGTGCTTATTTGGTTTATTAGAGGACCTAGCCAACACCATAGCACATAGAACATTATTGAGCATTCTCCTATTTTACGCCCTTAAGGCAATTTCTTTAATTGGAAAAAACCACAGGAGTCGAGGTTGGCCATGAAAATTTGACTGGTCTGGGGCAGCTGGACATCAACGGAAGCCACAGCTGGATAGTGTCAGGAAGGCACTAGCCATAGTATAGCTGAAACCTCTAGGTGTACACGGGTGCCCGTCTTTCTATGCATAACCATAAACAATTGCGGAGCGCTCGCGAAGCTGCCTGCCGCTTATGTTGGTGCCAATGGCAGCAGTTCCATTAGCCACTGCTGTCTGATTTATAGCTTTTCCCTGCATCTGTTCCTGTGTTGACTGCTGTTATTGACCTGGCTTACTCTGACCTTGCTTAAATGCTACCTGCCCTGACCTTGTCCTGCCTCTGGATTTGCTCTGTTTTCTGCCCATCTGCCTAATTTTCCATTGCTGACCTTTGCTTATATCCTGACCATTCTCTGCCTACCATCCATGCCTGTATCTGACGTCTGTTGCTGACCTGGCTTGTCTGACCTTCCATCCAGTTATCCTCCTGTCCTACACTGCATACTACCTGGTTCTTGCTGGTTCTTCACCTGTTCAGTGCTACCAGTCCTGTCGCACCCATGGCCTGTTAAGCACCTGCCGCTTACTGTTTGCCTAGTCCTGGGTTTGCTGTCCCTGCTGCCACCTGTTGTTCCAGCGATCCAACCTGCAAGTAGATGCCCCCTCTCTGCACACAGTGTGGGGTATGGGTACTCCCTGGGGTGGTCGGTCCTGAGGGGTCCCCTCTTACCCCCTGGCCTTTGGTATTTCTTCCTGTCCCCCCTGCCCAGGCTCCCTCCCCTCCTCCTACACTCACTTCAGGATTTTGGATGGGTCCTGAACCTCAAGAAGTTTGCCCTGACCCTGACCAGAAGGCTGGAGTGTCTAAGTCTTGACTCAAAGCAGGCCATAGTGTTTTTTTCTGGTGGATGAGCCCCGAGAGCTTCGGACTGCAGTTTAACTACTCTTGTTTCACAAACAGTCCCCCCTGTGGTCTTGCTTGCAGGCACAGGGTCTCATGGTGTTGGCCTTCAAGGCGGTCCCACATGTGTAGTTCTGTATAAGAGTTCTGCAGAGGGAAATCCTGTTGACATCTGACAAGTCCCCTGCTTCCCTGGACAACCAGATTCATTTAGGCTGGTCAACAAGGGCCTCCCTCACCTGGTGGCTCCAGTCTCTATCCCTACATGCTGGGACGTTTTTCCCCCCTCCACTTGATGGTTGTCACAACAGATGCCAGCCTGCCTGGCTGGGGAGTTATCCTGGGTTCAAGATCTGCACTAGATCACTGGACTTCAGAGGAGGCTCAGCTGTCCATCAATGTCCTAATATTGCGAATGTTCAAGCTGTCTCTGGAGCACCAGAGAGATCTTCTCCGGGGGCTCCCAGGCAGGAGCCAATTGGACAGTGTCACAGCAATGGCCTATGTCAGCCACCAGGGCAAAACAAGCATTGCGGTCATGGCGCTGGAGACTACACACATTTGGAGGCAGAACAGCACATTCTGGCTCTCCGCTGTATGTATCCCAGGCATTGAGAGCTGGCAGGCATCTTACCCTTG